AAATAAATCTCAAATTATTTGGCGTTGTTGTCGAAATGACTGTGCTGATCGTGTACGTTTTGATGGAACAGGTTATATTAAAGTTACGGATCATCTTCATGCACCAAATCCTGAAGAAACAATATCAGTGGAATTCAAATCAAATATCAGTTCTGGTGCAACAATATCGCATGATCCACCACGACGTACTATTCATCAGGCTTTATTAAATTTTTTTTAATATGAGGCTCAAGTGTCGGGAGCTCATTTGTCGGGAGCTCAACTGTCGGTAGGCTCAACTGTCGAGGGCTCATTTGTCGGGGCTCAACTGTCGGGGCTCATCTGTCGGGAGCTCAACTATCAGGTCACGCCACACCCACACCCTTACCCTATTCTGTGAGTAAGGACTTATTGTTTTCACGTGCAAATCTTAGATTTTGATTGAGTATATTAAGATTCAAATAGGTTCTTATTGTGCGTTAATATAATTGAGCAAATTCTATTACAATTTCTTGAATTCCTTACTATGTTATCTTCTTAAAAGTGAAAATTGTGCCTTTCATTACTGATGCTCCCGATGAAATGTAAGTATAGAAAAGTTAATGTGTTTAATATAGTTTGCAGTAAGACTATCATACATGCAAGAGCTTCTTCAATCAATACAATCGATTGCATATCCTGATTATCACCAAGCAAAGCTCTCGTAAAACTACTTTCTGGTCATGAAAATACCGCATGTCTATTACTCTATCGTTTTATTCTTGTTTGTAGTCACTCTTTACTTTCAACTTTAATGTTATCACTAGTCTAAGAATGTTGGAAATGAAATATACTTACGTGATAATTGATAGTTGAGTGTACAAATTTTGTGTGGTGTGCTTGCAACCGATTTTATTCTGTATTCATGATTGACAACATTACTTGATTTTTTTCTCCACAAACGTATATTTACGTGAATCAATGAACCATGACTTTTTCATCACGTAGACAGCTTTTTTCCAACAATGTGCACATCATCACATATATTTCGTTCTTCACATGTTCTTCCTCTTTTTTTTATTCGACCTTGCATTTTGTGTTGTTGTAATAGGAAAATGTAGGCTGATATTTGCATGCGCTTAAATTTGAGTTGTAAATAAAATTTTTAATAAATCGAAAGATGAAGTAAAAAATAAATATACATGAAATCTTTTATTTCTTTGTTTATGAATTTTTGACGCTGTTTGTGTGATCATCAATTTAATAAAAGATGACTCATTGGACGTTGACACGTATTCTGATTTATATAAATGTTAGAGTTGACTTTAAAATTAAGTTGCCTTTAAAAGGCAGCTAGTTGACTTTTCAATTTCAAAGTCATCTATTCTTTATTTTAAAATCAAAGGTACTTAAATAACTTCAGAAAACTTGTCTGTGAATACAATAGAAATCTAAGGTTTTCGCTTTCAGAAGATGTGAAGAAAGAGGCATTGATTTGTATAAAAAATGATCGATTAAACAATAAGACAGTTAGTTAATTTTTTAAATGACGGCTAAACATTTCCAAAGTAAGGATTTGTGCGGGTGGGTGGGTGTGAGTGTAGGGTGTGGGTGTGGGTTGGGGTGGATGTGGGGTGTGGGCGTGGATGTGGGGTGTGGGCGTGGATGAGGGGTGTGGGTGTGGGTGGGTATGGGTGTGGTGGGTGTGGGTGGGTGTGTGGGTGTGGGTGTGCAAGAAAAGATTCCAGCACCCATACCCACACCCACACTCACACCCACTCACACCCACATCTACACCCCACACCCACACCCCACACCCACACCCACCCCACACCTACCCACACCCACCCACACCCACACACTCTACACCCACACCCACACCTACACACCCACACTCACCCCACACCCACACCCACACCCTCAAGGAACTAGCAATAAAAAAGAAAACAACATTTAGCCTTTCATTAGTGGACAATCTGAGTATGTCTTTGTCACATGCCTGAATAATCGAGATGTCTTTTGCACGAAAACTACAAATACAAGTTATAAAGCGGCGGTGCCAGTTTTGTTGAAAAATTGTGTCTTGCATCTACTGTGTTCTAGATTTCCTTTAAAATGATAGTCATGTGATTTTTTCATATTGATGTGTACTGTTTGAGAGAAAACTATGCATCTGCCTATGGACGAAATAAAGGATGAAAATTGATCATTAGCGACAAAAAAATTTCTAGCCGGTTTTCTTATGCACTTCAAATTATATGAAAGCATGTTTCAAAAATGTTGATTTATCTGAAAGATTTAATAGTACTTATAACATCAATCATTTATATTAGTATTTCATACTAGAAGTAGACTAATATCGACAATATTGACACTTCTTGAGATCAGTGACAACTTTATTCTATTCTTTTTATTACTAAAGAAGAAAAAAAGATTTATTGGTTAATTTTTTCTGATCAATCAGTCAGATCGAATGAGAGATGGTTTAGATTTCGAAATCGATGACACGATGGCATGAAAGATTGATTTAAATAAATCATTGAAGATCCTTATTAAAAAGAGCGTACTCAAAAAACGTATAGAAAACTTATTAATCAAAAACACATAAAAATATTAAGGAAAAAAATTACTGAATACCTAATTATATCAGAGTGAGAGTATGGATTTGGGTGACTAAGCCTTAGCTCTTGTTATCAAAATACCTAACACTTATTCTAATATAATTAAGTATTTGATATTTTTTTTCTTTAATTACTTTATAGGTACATTTACTAAAGATCAAGAGCAACTTTTAGAAGAAGGTCAAAAAGTGTTTCAGGACTAGTAAGTTTGTTTCCGTCGTACCGTGCCCAGTTTGAAGCTCACCACGATAGAATTCATCGGAACAAGATTGATCACTATATAGTGGCCAGTTGTCAGCTCTAAAATATCACGATGGTTAATCCAATGCGAAAACTATAATTGTTCTCGTTCCAGATTGCAATTGAACTATTTCGCATTTTGAACTTCACTGGTTCACTTCTAGACTTTTCGATTCTTCGAAATCGATATGAATCAAATTACAGAATGTTGAAGTTTCACTCAAAGATATGCCCTTGAAAAATATCATAACTAATACATCGTCAAGAAGATTCATCTTTGAATAAAACTTCAATTCTGGAAATGGTTCGTTTAATTAACTCGAGCTTTAGTATGAATGAAAAACAAGTCTCCAACAATACTTAGTAAGAAAAATGGTCTTTGAAACTCAGGTGTTTCATATCTATTGTTGCCATTACAACGAATTCATAAACAAATTACTTATGTAAACTTTACTAACTTGATTTACGATCTATGAACAGCTTAGTATAAACTAGAGTCACTTACGTGAGTGACAAATAGTATTTTAGTTTTTACTGATTGTTTGACTTTTGATAATGAGAAATGAATATTAAAATAGTTTTAAAGATCTGAAAGATCGGATATGTATCTTAGCAATCACACCAGTGTAGAATCTGACCGTTATTTTAGTTGCTGTTGTCGAATCATGCTCCCAAGTATTGTTAATCAAATGTTGGAAGCATATACTCGAAGTCAGTATTTATTTTGCAAATGGGACTACAATAGTTGTATTCATCATGATAGGCACTTTAGAGCCAAACGAAACTCTAATTTATATAGCGGATGTATCAATAATACTATGTGAACGAACACTCTCGCAATCTGTATCTGATACAAGTGACCGTCTTTCTATCGATTCTGATGTGAATAAATAGGAATCAGAAAAAGTTAGATGTAGATGTAGATGTAGGTGATAAGACAGATTTCAGATAAAAATGATATTTTCGTTTGAAATTTCAAAATAAACTGTAGAGGATCATAGAATCTTGATTTCTCTGTGTGACCCCAAAATAAAGCTATTTGACTTACATCTTTTATGAAAAAAAAATCACTGTATAATAAATCATGACATATAATAAGAAGAGTATTAGCTGAGTATCAAAAGAACGAAGTGAAAAGTATATGGAAACTTTTTTCCTCTAGTATCTCTAATTTTTTTTGCGTTGTTACACGACATCATATTTTCGTTGAATGTCATCAAGCTCTGTAAAAGGAAGCTATTTCACGGCAAAGAATATATTGTGAGACTAACTGGTGTCTTAAACAATATACAATTGCTAAAAAGTGATGTTTCTGAATTTTACAATTCACCAGTTTTGAACGTCAAATAACTTAACGTAGAGGATTCTGCAACATAACCAGTCTAAATGTTAATTGATAGTGTTGTTTAAGTATAGTGATGTCTTTCAAAGTTTGAAGTGGCTAAGAGTACCAAAACAACAGCCACGCTGCAATTTTTGAAGTTCAGTGAGAGTAATATGTTGTATTCGTTACTTTTAATATTTTTATTGCTGTTGGATTTTTTCTTACTTGACCAGTTTCTATACATTCACATTTCTTAAAATTAGCCCCTGCAGATTCTAATTCAATATTGTACACTTTTGTTGCTAAAATGAAAATAAACTATGTCTGACAGTGACTCTTCTGGCGAATTCTAGAATATTGGGTGTGGGTGTGTGGGTGGGTGTCGGTCTGGGTCTGGACCTTGATATCGTTTTGAATCACACCCACAACCACACGCACACGCACACCCCACAGCCACAGCCACACCCCGTCTCTCATTCGTAGCGGCGTAACCAGAATTTTGACGGTGGTGGGGCGATGATGGGGCTCAGCTGCTGAAATTCTGCTCAATGGTGGGGCTTGAAATGGAATTTGGCTGGAGCAAGTTCCTTGGGTGGTGGGGCTGAGCCTCACCTGGCCATACACTGGTTACGCCACTATTCATTAGGTTTCCACGTGTTCTTTTTATCTTGCATTGTGACACTAAAATGAAAATATTGACATATTTAGTAATGCCTCTGTTTCTCTTCATCGCCTATTCTTTCTCTCATCTTGCATTACTAATACTTATCTTTTCATCTTTCCTTCTATCTCGAACACCAAAACAAAACAAAAAAAACCTTGAAGGAGGACTAGATTACATTCAAGAAGAATAAAAATTTTTGTAAAAAGATCTGCTAGACATACTGGAGAGTTACATATAAAATTCAGATGAAAGTATGTAATATATTGACATCTACCGTCTTTACTAACTTGCTTTTTCATTGGATTGTCCGCATTAAACGTGTTTCATATCTCTGTATAACAAAAAAAACTGAAGCACGATAACAGTTAATCGCACACTGCCCATAAACATATCAATATGGAGAAAAGGAAGTTTCAAGAGACATCCAGTGTTACAGAATATGGAATTCGAAAGCAAACAAAATTTACGACTAATCAACTTCTTTCGTCTCTTTTGACATTGCCCGTTGAACTTGTTTATCGCATTCTGGACCAACTTAATGAATTAACAATTTTATTTTCATGTCGTAATGTGTGTACACGACTGAATATGATCATTGATACATATCATCGATATCAGGTAAACTTCAGCTTCATTATGGAGTCAGATTTCTTTCATCTTCAAGTCATCATTTAGTTCAAAAAATGATTGTTTTGATGAATTTACTTGCTGATTTTAAAATAATAGTAATGAATGCCCCAAAATAAATGGCCGCGTTTTGCATTTTATTTTTTCATCATCTAATACGTTTTATTAAAAAAGCTGTTAGCGCAATCCCTTGTGGGATTAAAAACGTGAAACACGATGG